GGGTGATGGTTGGGGGAGCTCTCTTCACGGCTGGGCATTAGCTTCATAGGTCTGTGTCCCCTTCGATCCTTGCTGGGAGCAGCAGGGATCAGAGGGAACACAGAGCCGATGAAACAACGGTTCCCAGCGCGGAAGAGAGAACTAGGGGATCCAGACCAACTAATTGATAATGAGAATCTTTGACAAAAATTCTCAGTATTGATTATTGACTAATCAATTAATTGGTTTCAGCCCTAATTGGTATATATCTCTATGCAAAGTAATAGCAGGGATGTGGAATTCCTATTGCCCGACACCCGGGGCATGCAGTTTCGGGCTCTGGGTGAGTAATTTTTTTGTACATTTAGCCCTTCTCAGGACAAGCAGATCTAAATGTACAGCGGGGAACCGCTCCTCGTTTTTATACAAGTGATCTGATCAGATCACTTGTATGAAAGGAGTAGCAGCGATTTGTGTCCGCCCCCCGCCGTGGTTTTCGGGGTCCCCCACTCCTCTGGGGGACCCTTGACCATGGCATATGAGCTCACCATAGGGCCCGTAGAGCAGACGAAGAATGTCCGTTCTTCGTCTGCTCTGTGTGATCACTGAGACCGGAGCGCTGTAATCATAGCGCCAGCTGTCTTAGCTGTCAGGAACTGCATAGAACATCTGTTCCATTTCCATTCCATAAAGAGAACCTGTCACCTCCAAACTTATATTTTAGGAATAAAATTAAGTGGAAAAAAAAGTAATAAAAATTAAAAAAATCAAAGTTATAAAAAAGTAAAAAATAAAATATATATAAAAATGTTAAAGTGATAAAGTAAAAAAAAAAAAGATTCAAACCAACCCCGCTGCCCCCGCCATCTTCATGCAAATAAACGCACGCGTAGGACATTGTGTGTGTGCGTTGAGTGCTGCCGCCATTCCACTGTCTGCTATATTGTGGTAGCCAGGCAGCAGAACTCTCCTACACGCACAATGTGCATTAAAGGGTAAGTCCACTTTCCCAGGTAACATGGAAAAATTAAATTACCCGATCAAATCTGGCCCGGTCTCTCCCAAATTAAACCCCCTCTCCAGCTATACTTGCCTTTCTGCAAACAGTCCTTCCCTTCCGCTAGCACTGGTGTACTATCTGTACCCTGTACTGCTGTCCATCGCAGTCCTGCCTTATGCATTTTGGATTTCGCTCACAAATTGAAAGCACTCATTGGTCAGGTGACCGCGCGGACCAGTGAGAGGCGCTATTTAGCACAGTCAAATACGGTTTTGATTAGGGATGCACTAATGCAGAGTATTTGGGTGAGTACTTGTACTCACCCAAATGCCCCGATACCTTTCCCAATACTGGAACTTCCGGTCAGCGGAAGATTTCCTGTGACAGTCAGTGCCGTAGGGGGAACATGGAGCCAGCTTCCCGTGCAACCAGGAAGTGGGACAACAAGTAATGACCCGCCTCCCAGTTTCCTGATTGGCCAGGAAGCTGGCTGCCCGGCCAATCGGCATAGAGCCGGCTTCCCGGCCAATCAAGTAAACTGGGAGGCGAACATAAAAATGTATAAAAATGTTTTAAAAATGCATATTTATCATATTTTTGCGTTATAATTTTTTTTTTTAACAAAAGCCACGTAACGATGTGAAGGAGAACAAAAAACATTTTTACGTTTAAAGTGTTGGGTAGAAGTTCTCTCTTGCCTTACTAATTTGATAGTGGGAATACTTCACAAATACTTTTCATATGAAAACCTGTCATGAAAGAAATGGTTGCCATTTCTGACCTCTCATGAAAAGTCACGGCTGTCATGGTAATCCAGTGCCTTAATTTTCTATCTGTCTCACAAATTCAGAACAGGTATGCAGATCAGTAAGGCCTCATTCACACTATCCACTTGTTTTATGCAGAGAAAAGGCAGGCTAGATGCTTTTTTTAATGCTTCTAGATGCTTTACCTGATGTTTATGCGCATATGCTTTTATATGCATCTGTCCTTTGTCCATTGAAACAGTTAATTGACGTAGCCAATGAGATTTCAGCAAATAGACGTGTCTTATGCTTGCGGTTTGGTGCGTTTTAGAAGCTAAAATTGTTTACTGACCATCTAAACGCAGGGTGTGAATGGATCCATTGAATATCATTAGATGCATTTATATGCGTTTAGAAAACAATTAAACATTTATATAAAACACACCCTAGTGTGAATGGGGCCTAATAGATTTTTTTTCTCAACACTTATGTAATGCATGCATCTTCCAGGTTTGGTTCTCAGAAGTATTAAAGCCCAGGATAGCCAGGCAGGTAACATTTGAAAATGTGGTTAGCAATAGCAGCCTTGTATTTTTTATTTTGAGGTGGTGACATTTTTGTAGTTTGCTTTTGTTTTTACTTTTTCAGGATTTTCCACTACTGAAAATTGCTGTTCTTGTTTCATATGATTGGTGTGTTTGGGTCGAATGCATTCTATTCCCAGAAATGCTCTAATCAGTACATGTATTTGCTTAGGGGAAGCCAAAAAAATATACTGCAACTTATGTCAGATGTGTGCTCTTTGTTACATAACTTTTATGTATTACCTGTCAACAAAATTGCAAGTATGTTCAGTTTTCTAATCCAGACATCCCTGCCAGACACAATACAAAGTCCTGACTTTTTCTCCGTTGCAGTTTATGCACAAAAATTTGGTCTAGACCGTTATTTGATAGTGAAGAAGCAACTCACTGATGAGTGTATCTTTGTGCTGTCTCCTTCAGTCAGTGAGCTCAATTTGTTGGATTCACATTGCTGTGCAATATAGTGAAACCTGATTGGCTGACTTTGTTGTCTTTTCCTCTTCTAGTCTGAATGTTGATGTTCAGGGGCTTACATAAGGCTAGTACAAAGACAAACTGTGAGAGCTTGCATGCCATTTACTGTACTGCAGGGCAACAGTTAACCAAATCTTCCCATAAAATTTTGACTTTTACATATATAATAACATATTCTTTACATAATAATGGGAAATCCACTGTTAATATTCTTGTCTGACAGCTATTTTCTCTCACTTGCAGTTTCAAGTGTAGACTTCTGCCTACTAAGTAGGTAGGTATAGTGCTAGCAGGTGTTCCTACTCAGTGGCTTGTTAACCATAAAGCATCATGCAGTTATTCAGAAAGAAAGCTAAATTGGATAACCCTCCCTACGACTGTCCTTCAGGTCTGTGTAGTCATCTCTTGGCTTCTGCTGTGCAACACAAAAGGTAAAGGCATAGAAGTCTAAAAAAAACAAATGTTTTTATTTTTACAGGCAAAGCCTTATTCTGTCACGTGGCCTGCATATATGAAAAATGTAGAAAATGCATTTTACTACATTTATAAAACAGCAATCATGGCTGCTCAACTAAAGTAAAGCATCCATGTGATGTGTGTACACACCCCACAAAAAAAAAAAACCCGCCGCCAATCTTTATTTTAATGAACATATCCCGAGTGGACAAACCTCTTTTACATTGTGCTGAAAAAAGAAGAGCACGCTCCTCCCCTTTTTTCATCACACTGCAACGGAAGGCAATAGATTGCAGCGGTGTGGTCCCATTCACACCTATAAATTTTTCGGTGCCCTTGCGTTTGCATCCATTGAAAAACAGAACACAATGGATCTTGTGTGAATGGGGCCTTATAACGTTTACCACTCATCAATTTGGTGTTAACAGTTCTTGATGGCCCTAGAATTATTGCTTGCACTCTGATGTTTGCTGTGATATGTAGCATGCAGTGGTGTAGAATTCCTATCGCCCGACGCCCGGGACAGGCAGTGCCGGGCAAGTAGTTTTCTTTTCTACATTGAGCCCGGCTGCAGGCAAGCAGCCAGCTAAATGTAGTATGGGAGCCGTTTTGTACAAGTCATTTTAAACGTCACAAGTCACTTGTCATCTGCCTGAATCACGCTCCCTCTCTCCTCCCGTCCCCTCTCTCCTCCCAAATTCAAGCACTCGTTGGTCAGCGCGGGCACTGCTAGATACGGTTTTGGTAACATAAAAAAATTAATCTTATTTTGTATTGGGACTAGTAGATTGTCATGAGGGATAAGAGACCAAGTACTTTCCCTCAGGTACTTGCCAATACCAATTACCGATACTTTTTCTTAAAGGGGCATGTGACATATTTGATAAAACAATACAGACTAATGATTTTAGGGCAGTTTCTTACCAGTCTGTGTACAGAGCTCACCAGTCTTTCTGTACGCATCTCTCCAGGGCTGCGCACACATCTCTCCAGGGCTGCGCACACATCTCTCCAGGGCTGCCAATTTGGTCTCTCCAGCGCTGCATACACGTCGGCAGGGCTACCGATGGGTCTCTCCACGGCTCTATGGACAGGCACTGAGTCGTACGGAGCGGGTGATGGTCATGTGCCCGCCCCGAGGCTGTATTTGCAGTGTGGGGCTGCCTCGAGCACTGCCTGAGCCGGGAAGGCGGAGATGTGGGACCTGGCAGGCAGTGTCAAAGACAGCTACTGCCAGGTCCCCGGAAGGCTGCCTCAGGCCCCCGGAAGCGCGGGACCTCGGCAGCCTACCTGATTACAAAATTTAAAGGGCCGGTATCGGCCTTTAGTAGTGGGGCACAAGTACTCCTGAAAATGCCCTGTATCGGTACCGATACTAGTATCGGGAAATCCCTATTTTTTATATTTGACTTTCGTTTTATAAACTTTTTTTTAACACAACTTTATCACTATCACATGGGGGGCTAAGAAACTGTTGAAGTAGAAGTGACCGGAGGGTATATCAGCTGCTAGTTTGCTGATCTCTCTGGTCTGGTATGGATCCTCACAAAATATGCATGTGGCCCCCCTCAATCCATTATTAGTCCCCTATCCGAGCAGCGGCCTGGCAGGCCAGGAAAGGGAAGGGGGGCCAAATAGCAGGCAAGACAGCCTGCTATTGACTATGGAATCAGCCCACAGCCTGCTGTCAATAACAAGGGAAGAGGACCTGATGGGGGAACTAGCCTGTCCAAGTTTCCTTTCAGGCCCCACCCACTCTTAAATGTAAACTTAAATGGTCAATTACATCACCAGCTATACACCACCCCTTTCAGCTGTAGGGACTGAAGTGGTCTTTCGGCTCTAGTCTCCCGTCAGGTCTGGACATATGTCAGACAGTCAGGGCCGGCCTTAGGGGTGTGCGAGCCGTGCGGCCGCACAGGGCGCCATGGCAACAAGGGCGCCGTGCGGCCACATCCCTAGCCCTAGTTGCCAATTACCTGTATTTATACTGTCTAAGCTAAGTGTTTTGTAGGTACTTTTATAAGCTTGTTAACATTGATTTGTTTGTTTTCTGTTCAGCAGTACTCTGCTTTTGTAAAGTATGAAGAAAGCCCATCTCTAGTGAAGGAAAGATGGCTGACAAGAGAAAACTACAGGGTATGTTGGTTAATAGCAAATTGTTTAAGGGAGTCTAAGGAGCCATTTCATGTGTCTGCCATTTCTTATGTCTTTCTTGTCCATTGGAAACAGGACACAGGAAGACTTTCCCCTTCAGTTTATACTACCAACTACAGGAGGATTAGGCACTGGCAGATGAACTGGAAAACCATAAGCCAGCCCAGTTTAACCCCTTCTATCACCAGCCTTTTTGCCAAGTAGAATGGACATCTTTTCTTCAGCTCTGTCTATGCCAGCATAAATTATTTTTTTCTTAATTCGGTTATTCTTTCATCAAGACTCTTTTCTACATTCCTTTTAGAGCTGGTCTCTTCTATGGGAGCTTTCCAGCTTAGCCGTCCTCAGCCTGGCTTTTTAGGTGCTGCTTCCATACCTCACTGGACTGGACATTGAGGGGATAGCCTAGAAGTGACCTTTTGGCACTGTGCTCTGTTTAAGCTGCTTTCCAGAATCCATAATGCTAATAAGTTGGCTGCATAGTGCTTTCCAGGTGCAGAGCTGCTGACATTGCCTTTTGCGTTTTCCCTGTCAAACTCACTATGTGAGTAGGCCTGTCAGGCTGAGCACATGGGAGCCAGCTCATTTTCTTTGGTGGCTGGTTGCCTTTTAATTCCTCACTTCCCGCCGTTTTCCATTGCAGAAGGGGTTAGTACCGGGGAAATTAGTACTTACGTCCTGTGCTGGGTGGAGGGTCGCTTGCTCTGCACTCTGCATTTTCTTGGACATACGGTGTTAAGGAAGCATCTCATTGCATTGTATCAACCATTAACATATAAACGTGCTATATATTTACTTTAAAAAAATAAATGTTCTATGTTGCCTCCATCTATTTCTGAAGAAGCATTTGCAAAATGCGTTGAAGATCAGGCCACTCTCCAATTTTCTCTATATTTGATGGACTTTCTTAAACAAGTAACATACAAATCTTAAACAATGTAAAATACATACATTTTGATAAAACACACTATGCTTTTCCGTGCAATCCTTTTTTTTTTTTTATATATTGTTTTTTTATAATGTGTTAATCAATGTGTTTTTTTTTTTTTAATGTAACAAATTTCAAGTGGTAATGTTATGGCACCTAATAATAAAGTTCCAAATAATTATTTTCTAAAATTTGATTTACAGAATTAATGATTTCATGCCAGCCTGTCTATTTTTTTAAAATTATTTATGTGATTTCTTTAAGGTGAGATTGATCGGTGTCTGAAAAAGGTTTCAGAAGGTGTTGAGCAGTTTGAAGACATCTGGCAAAAGGTAACCCGTTCTATTAACAAGAATAGCAAAAACTCATGTTGTAAATAGTTTGTCACAGTAATATTCTAGAATATATTGTGGCTGTCTATTTTTATGTAGTTTGAACTTTAGATACACAATTGGTGGAATGGTTTTAGCTTATTCTATACAAATTTTACACGGTGGAGTATGGATAGTAATTTCCACTTTTACAGCCAAATTGGGATAATGTCTGCGCGGAGTTTGCATGTTCTCCCTGTGGTTGTGTGGGTTTCCTCCAGGTACTCCAGTTTCCTCCCAAACTCCTGAATGATGCTGAAGAGTAGAAAGGGGGCCAACGTCCCCAAATATGAATAAATTATTCTATCCTGTCCATGTTCCCCACTACCAACCTCTCCATACACATTAATACGTTCATGACCTCTGACCATGAAGTGAGCGAAGGTACTAAATTAGTTTTCCATTGTCTTGAAATTGTTGTACACGCCGCTATTAAGCAAAAGCGCAAAATATCATGTTTGTTTGAGCTTATGGAGGCGGGGAACATGGAAAGGAGGGCCACTTCCGGGATAGCGTCTATGTCTGTGCCTTATATTTTATTATATACTCGGAATACCTCTTACCGGAATGGCTGTATCTTCCCACATTCCCAGCAGATATGTAGGTCGGGTCAAAATGTCAAGTCCAGAGCTACTAGCCAGGCCCTAGGAGTTGCTCGCCACCAGTTGCCCACCTAACCCCTACCCTGCCCTGGCCTTCTCCCCTAAACACACCCTCTTAAATAATCTTATAAATTACACTGTTAGATGTTTTATGAATGAATTTCCACTCGCACTGCATTTCCACTCGCCAAAGGCGAGTGGAAATTTTGAGCCCTGATGTAGGTAGTCCTCGCGGTCCAAGCCGCACCACCAGCATATATCTGAGGTAGGATATATTTGATGTAACAATGCTGGAGATCTGTGCCATCTTGGAATAAGTTTGTATTTCTTTTCCTGATAATGGCTAGAGATTGAAGATGCGTAGGTTAAAGTGTATGCTCTGGACCAGTCCTCCAGCAGAAACTTCTGCCCAAGGAGTGCTCCCAATACAGCTCAAACAAAGGTCTACCCTGGCAGGCAATCTCCCTCAAGAGGGCATATAACATTGAAGTCACTCTCCGGGGACTACGATCTCCTGTACCAGTGTTCAAAAATGGTCAACGGGTGGGTCAGTACAGTTTCTCTTGACATGCATTTAACAAAGTCAGATAGCTGAATGGCCTGACATCTTCCCGCAGAAGATTGCCTTTGAGGATGCAATATTATTGCTATACCTCTAGTTAAATAATTAAGTACAGTGGGGCAAAAAAGTATTTAGTCAGCCACCAATTGTGCAAGTTCTCCCACTTAAAAGATGAGAGAGGCCTGTAATTGGCATCATAGGTAAACCTCAACTATGAGAGACAAAATGAGAAAACAAATCCAGACAAATCACATTGGCTGATTTGGAACACATTTATTTGCAAATTATGGTGGAAAATAAGTATTTGGTCACCTACAAACAAGCAAGAGTTCTGGCTCTCACAGACCTGTACCTTCTTCTTTAAGAGGCTCCTCTGTCCTGCACTCATTACCTGTATCAATGGCACCTGTTTGAACTTGTTATCAGTATAAAAGACACCTGTCCACAACCTCAAACAGTCACACTCCAAACTCCACTATGGTGAAGACCAAAGAGCTGTCGAAGGACACCAGAAACAAAATTGTAGACCTGCACCAGGCTGGGAAGACTGAATCTGCAATAGTCAAGCAGCTTGGTGTGAACAAATCAACTGTGGGAGCAATAATTAGAAAATGGAAGACATACAAGACCACTGATAAGGTGCGCGGTGAGCAAAAATCCCAGGACCACACGGGGGGACCTAGTAAAATGATCAAACCAGGACGACTTATCCGTGTACAGGACAAAATGAATGGGGCCATGTATGGTGAGATTTTGAGTGCAAACCTCCTTCCATCAGCAAGGGCATTGAAGATGAAACGTGGCTGGGTCTTTCAACATGACAATGATCCCAGACATACCGCCTGGGCAACGAAGGAGTGGCTTCGTAAGAACACTTCAAGGTCCTGGAGTGGCCTTGCCAGTCTCCAGATCTCAACCCCATAGAAAACCTTTGGAGGGAGTTGAAAGTCTGTGTTGCCCAGCGACAGCCCCAAAACATCACTGCTCTAGAGGAGATCTGCATGCAGGAATGGGCCAACATACCAGCAACAGTGTGCCAACCTTGTGAAGACGTACAGGACACGTTTGACCTCTGTCATTGCCAACAAAGGATATATAACAAAGTATTGAGATGACCTTTTGATATTCACCAAATACTTATTTTCCACCATAATTTGCAAATAAATTTGTTCCAAATCAGCCAATGTGACTTGTCTGGATTTGTTTTCTCATTTTGTCTCTCATAGTTGAGGTCTAACTATGATGCCAATTACAGGCCTCTCTCATCTTTTTAAGTGGGAGAACTTGCACAATTGGTGGCTGACTAAATACTTTTTTGCCCCACTGTATATGTCTAATCTGTGGATGCACATCCTGATTAAGATAGAGAAATCTCCTAGAGGCCATACCTAGGAGAAACTGTGAAAAAGGAGTAAAAGGACCATATCTGGTTGAATATTCCATATTTTATGCTCAAACTATCCTATTGAGAGAGTAATAATCTAGTAAGGTATGGGAGAAAAGACAATGAAGGTTGACATTCAGGTTTAACTCAGTAGAGGAGACATATCGCTTTCCAGCAAGGTTCCCATATTGTTGACAGAAGAGGAAAGCCAGTCAAATATTCCTAATAAAACTGCCGCTCCGTGGTATAACCTAAAATATGGCAAACATAACTTTTGGACTTTATTTGAGTCAATATGCTAATAGTTATTTGAGTGGCTCGCGAACCACATATAAACTTAGTTACTGCTGGAAAGAGTAATAGGGAGGGTGTGAAAAAAAAATATAAAAACCTTGGCAAAATAGCCATCTTAAGGACATTAAGGGCCTGTTCACATGATATCAGGTCCTGATCTGCAGACGCGGTGCTACTGATGCAGTGTGTTTTGGCTGCGTTTTTGATGCGTTCCAGGTTCCAAAATGTGACATGCAGTAACCCATAAAACACATAGGGATACATTGGGATGCTTTTTTCGTGCAGGAGCGTACGGATCAGGTCAGCACAGAAAACGGACGTCGTGTGAACAGGCCCTTAAGGCCATGACACACTGCACGCGAAGCAAAGCTATCCGGCACGGAGCTTTGCGTGCAGTGTGAGAGCTGACTGCAGTCAGATGATTGACTGCACCTTCAGCCAATCGGCTCGTCCGTAACAACCAGCCAGCTGTCGCATACCGACGCGCTGGTTTATTCGCGCGAGCCGATTGGCTGAAGTTGGAATTGTTGATCTCGGCACGCTCAGCTCCGCGAGCTCTCGTTAGCTGAGGTGCCCAGGAGAAAATTACATGACACACTGCTTGCAAAGGCAGCGCGCCACCGCTCCGCGATGCTTCGCCAGCAGTGTGTCATGGCCATAAGTCTTCCGAGCCAAAAAAGAGAGAGAAGCCGCTATGAGGCTAAGTTGGTAATAATCCCATCTATTATTTTTTTATAATTGAGTTTATAAAGAAGATGAAGATCTGAGGCACCATAAATTCCCAGGTAAAAAATGGCCTTTGATTGCCGGGAAAACTGGAAAGTGCGTTGAATATTATTAATTCTTAAGATAGTGGGATATATTTAAGAAATCTAACTATGTAGTTTTTTATCTTAAAATGACCAAACTGTGTTCGTGTAGAATACTGGGAATACTTACCATAGGGTCTGTGAAATATAGAAGAAAATTGTCGGCGTATAATGTCAGTTTGATGATGTGAAGGTAAAGAAAATCCTTGATTTTAGAAATTATTACGTAATGCAATAGTTAAGTGCACCATTGTGAATGTATATAAAAGTGGGGATAAGGGACAACCTTGCTGCGTGCCATTGCGAATTAAGAATGACGAAGATAGATACACGTTTACCCGGACCTTAGCCTTGGGGTTAGAATACAGGGCCTTACTTTTGATGTGAAACATCAAAAGGCCCCTAACTGTAACTATAAATGAGAAAGAGTGGCCCGCAGAAAAGACCAGTGGACTCTGTTAAAGGCCGCCTCCGCCGAGAGGAGACATAAAGGCGCCAAATTAAGTTTCACAGAGGAGATAAGATTAATAGTCCGAATAACATTATCCTTGGCCAGGCGTCCTAATATGAACCCTGTTTTGTCTGGATGGATAACTTTTGAGAGCAAGGGTTGCAGTCTTAAGGCTAATATTTTTGCTGCCTTACTTTGAGGGTCCCTCAATATATTATCGTTAAGCGACACGTCGCTATTCGTGATGCATTAGAACCCCATGAAAAGGATAGATATACAGGAGCGTGGTTTGACCACAGAAAATGATCTATTAACCAGTTGCTGCACAGAGCAATTTCTTACATTTGCACACACATGATTGCTAGTTGCAATTTCTTATGTCGGATAAAATACACTACAATGACATTTAGATAGATAGATAGATTTTATTTGTCACATACACAATCGTACAAGTATGATATGCAGTGAAATGCTTACACGACTGCAGAGCAGTCGTGACGGCAGCCGACTACACCGGCGCCATCTTTGTAGAGCAGTACGGTGACAAGACGCGGATGTAGAGAGCCTGCAGCTTCTCCTAAAGCTCCGGGTGTCGCCTCTGAACGGCAGCGTGATACAAGTGCAGGAGCGCTGTACAATCTTAACCGCCATTAATCCCCAACGGAGAACCTGACTGTGCCAGTTGGTAGACGAGAAGATCGTTATGGGCCTCCGCATAATCCCCCATCTTGTCCTCGACGTGGACGACTCCGTCTCCCAGGGCGTCAACATCCCTTCTCAGCAGCAAAAAGCACATCTCTATGCAGGGAGCACCCAAGAGACACAAGCACGTCCCCTAGGGTAGTGTCCAGCAGGGGGCGAT